AGAAGTGGAAGAAGGGTCTCGGGCAGCCCCTGCCGCCGGCTGGTCCTTGGCTTTGCTGGGGAGGCCCCCCGCCCTGGGGCAGACTGTGACTTGTTGTGGTGGGATGAGCCAAACAACAACAAAATCACTAGTCTTCCAGAGGGAGGCGGGCACGGGGCTTGTCCTGCTGAGCATCCCCCTCCCTGCCGGCCGGGCGTGGCGGGACAAGTGTGTTCACATTTGGTCCTTTCCATCCATTCGCTTCTTCAGCCTTGCCAGAGAAAAATATAAAAGTTAGAACGCCCTGTGCCCTTTTTGTTGTTTTTTTTTTTTTTTCTATTTCTTTTATGGTTTTCTTCTGGCAAGTAAACCTCGTCCTTAAATCTGTTGCTCTGTGTTTTGCATCTATCTCTGCTGTTCAGCTAATTAACTCTTTGTAACAAGGGTAGTTCAAGTGTCCCACAATAACTTGCTGGAGAGGCTTGGCAGGTCTGTATGTAAAAGTTGTTTTTGGTGAAATGGTGCAGCCCAGCTCTTGGGAATGGTTCATTTGGGGCTCCTGGGGGCTCTTTGCCCAGTTTTTCTCCCACTAAGCAGGGTGTGAGCAGGCCAACATTGTGTGAGCAGCAGCAGACTCAAGCCCTGTTGCTAGAGATGTGGGCTTGCTTTGCCTGTGTCATTTCTCCACCAGCCTCAGGTGAGTGAGGAGCTCAGATCTCCAGCTGATTTTTCTCCCAGCAGTGGGGCAGGAGATTCAAGCACCTCAGCTGTGGTGCTTATTGGTGTGTGTGGTTGACAGCTCCCTGTACATGTCTCTGTTGCACTGGTGGGTCTGAACAGTCTTGGCTCATCCATAATAAACCCATCCACCTCCCCTCATCCTTGCTCCATGGCACATTGTTTCCCAGGCTGTGTGTTCTGCACAAGGTGTGTGATTCCCCTTGGCAATGTGAAATTTTAGCTGTACCCTTGTGGTTACAGAGAAACCTCGGCAGGAGAAACTGTGGGCATGTGGGGAGGAAGGGAAAAGCTTTTTCTGGTTTCCTAAGGCCACGACAGCCCAGGTTGAAAAGGAACAGCGGTGACATTTTCCTCCTCTGTGCCAGATGCAAGGATGGAGGTGGAAAAAAGTCAAACCAGCATAAAATGGGTCCATCTGTGGCCTCTGATCCTGCTGGCCTCTGGGTTGTCAGTAGATGGTTCTCATGTGGTAGATATTTCTCCCTTCAGAAGAAGTATTGAGCCTCATAGGGATGCTGCTCATCTCCACAAGGTCCTTTGGCCTCACTGGGGATGGAGGGTTTGGCACCAGATGTTAGAAACCCCGTGTTGGATGTGGCAGATGAGCTGAGCTGAAGGCAGAGTGCGCCAGAGCCCAGGAGAGGTTTCTGTGGTATTTGCACAATTTGAGATAATAACGAAATCTGTAAAACTCTGGGTAGAGCATGATTAGAATAACAGGCTAAATTTGTCAGATGAATAATTTACTAGAAGTGATTGGCCCAGCTCCAAGCGAGAGGAGCGCGAGCCTGATCTCGGGCTGAGCAGCCTGGGTGGCTCTGTCCTCAGCTGGGATCTGCTCCTTCTCCTGCCACCAGGACATGGCTCCTGCAAGAAAAGCTGGTCTCTGGCCAAGGTGTCTGTCCCCAGGTCATCACTGCCTGTGGCTGCAGGGCTTCCTGCAGACCTCGTGATCCCTTCTTTGGCAGTTTATTTTCAAGGCACCACTCTGCAGAGTGGAGGTGGTGGCAGTGGGTGTCTGTCACCAGCTCCGGGCTCACGGACTCACCTGTGAGTCCTCCACCCTTCTCCTGCCATTTCTCTGTCCTCAGCTGTGGAGCCAAGCAGATGGAGGAACAGAGACATCATGACATTTGGGATGGGAAGGGAGATGAAGTCCCAGTGCTGGGAGGAGACGGCGGCTGAGGCCGCAGCAGCCAATTAACGTGATCATGTTTATGAATGCGGATCAGTAATTCCAGGTAAACTCCCTGAGAGCAGCACAGTGGGCTATTGAAGCCTCCTGCTGGCCTGGGAGCCTGTTGGTGGCCACTGGTCCCTGTCAGCATCAGCACATTCCTGC